GCACTGGTGAAAGCGCAGGAAGAGATGAAACACCATCAATGCTAAATGGTTAAAATTAGAGAACACAAGTCAGAGCTCGCCAGCCGTGGGCTGCTGGTTGAGAAACACTTGTTTAGCTGCTGACTCTGTACTTAAGTCAAGTTCAAAAGAGAGTAGTTTTCCCACTTCAGACTGGGATAATTTAGATATAAATTAAAAACATATGCAGAATGACTGTGGTGGATACGAAAAAAATATTACATTTAAACAGAGTTAAATCTAAGATCACTGACACTGAAACATGCATTTTCAGTCTAAGTAAAGAACCTCAGGAGTAAAGTTCACCACTGTCATAAATATCTCTTTTGCTCTATAGGGAATGAAACCAAGACCTCAGAGGAAACACACACACATAATCACATATTCATTGATCACTGGGACTTGCTGTGTTCTCGCCCTCTCGCTACTGACATAAAGGTCAATAACAACAAATAAAGAGCAATAGTAGTAACAAACAGAGTGAGTTAAAAATAAAAGCTCACATTAAAGATGCTATAGAGGATTGGTAGCAAAAATAAAATGCTAAGGTAAGACGGCATCAGCAAAATAAAGTGTCACTATGAAATGTGAACAGTTGCTTGCCTCACTCTTTCTGTCAATTCCTCCAGAATCCGTCCTCCATCCCAACCTGCCCTTATGTCCTGCTGATAATAGTGGTACAGAGTACAGCACAATACATATGTGAAATTTAATGGAGTAAACGTATATTTTCAGGTGTGTAAAGTCTGTCAGGGCTAGTGCTAACTGCAAGTGCTATCATGAATTATTAAGGTGCCTAATTATTAAGGTGTTTCTCTAGGTGTCTTCGAATCAGCTTTGATGTATTTATTTTTATGTACCCTGATCGCCCAGATTCAGTATACTGGTATACTATATTTCATACTTCAGTATACTTACATTATGTAAGAACCCCAGACCTTCTCATGGCCATGAACATTCAAGGGACAATCATGTATGATGAATATGTCCAGAAATAATGCTGTCGACTGAATGTGGTTTGATTAATTATTCAAAAATAATAATGTGATTAAAAAAAACTAAACCATTAATCATGTCCCCAACACATAAATTCTGCAAAAGGGAATTTTTCTACCACCAGAGAAATTCAAGCTTGAAGTACCACCTTTGTGTTTTTGCAAGTACATGCAGACTGATCATTACAAAAATACCTCAGACAGAATACGAGAATGACAAGGACGGGAAGGAAGGATCTTTTAAAGGTACAGTTCTGCCAAAAATGAAAATTCGGACATAATTTACTCACCCTTATGTTATTTAAAACAAACACACAAATAAATAAATAAGATCTTTTTGAAACAAAGTTTCATTATTGGCTACTCTATCCCTTTATGATTAATGTTATGAAAATAAAACATATTGAAAACTAATCTAATTTTTGTAAGGTGACCATCTATTCAAAGATTTAATCATCTGCCATAATAATCTTTATTTGGTGGTTTTTCTCAGCGAAGTGATAGATGTTATTAAAATTTGATTTGATTATCCTCCATCAACAGCCCTGCCAGAAACTTTGTTACAGCATTCTTTCATTTACTGTCCAAATAACACAGTACAATAATGGTCAAACAATGACATAATCTGTGTTCTAATTTATTCTAATGAACAAACCCTGTACCTTAAAGGTGCAATGTGTAATATTTACAACGATCTATTGACAGAAATGCAATATAATATACATAACTATGTTTTCAGATGTGTATAAAGACCTTACTTAATTAACCGTTATGTTTTTATTACCTTAGATTGAGCAATTTCTATCTACATACACCGCGGGTCCCCTTACATGGAAGTCACCACCATGTTTCTACAGTAGCCCTAAACGGACAAACTGCTCTACAGAGCGCGTTTCGTCACTTTGTTGTTCTTGCCAATAAAACACTGACACAATGACGAACAAGTACATTAACATTCACAATAACATCGATTTATTGAATGATTAAGTAAATATAATTCCTTAATTTACCTTTGTAAGGAAATCTCATTGCTCTCTGCTGTTGTAACCGACAACATCTTTACCTGTGTAGGCCACCGTAGCTTCTCTAAAGGGAGGGGTGAGCGGGGGACTGAGCCGTTGGTTGCAATTCGCAACCTCACCGCTAGATGCCGCTAAAATTTACACACTGCACCTTTAAGCTACTTCCTTACCAAACTACCAAAATAATTTCACACACTTTTCTGCCATGATGCAGATAATGTTCAACATTAACCCAACCAATAAAAAGCCTCAAGGCCTGAGCTGAACTTAAATCTCCAGTTTAATTTGATTTATCTGCTCCCTGTGTCTTTGAATTCAGACCGCTCCATCATAATGTCAGTGCATAATTTATGAGTTGAACAACAACAATTAAAACATCAACACGGAAGACTCTACATAATTCACTGAATGACTTGTAGAGAAAGACTGGCTGTCTGGTTAATGACGGACCGGTCTTTGAAGTCTGGGATTCAGCGGCTCTATGAATATCATGAATAAAGTAAGAGAAAATTTTACTAATTCGATTCATTTATTCTAGAACATTGATTTTTTTTTAGGAAAGCCATCTGTGTTAGTGAAACATTTTCCTGCATGAGAGGCATGAGAGCGGAGCGGCCATTCTCACCAACTGTTCCGGACAAGCACCATGTGCTAACTAACGTAAGGCAACTCAAGTGCGTCAAATACAGCCCTCGATAGGTGGGATAAGTAATATGATATCCTTACGACTCAAATAACTAAACGAAAAAGAGCATGAAGCTGTTTGAAGTACCGTCATGAACTGAATGAAGAAGGAAGCATTGCACTATAATTTTGCCTTCCTGCCATAAAGAAATATCCAGATGGCCACAAAGGTTCCCTACCTGCCCAAACACATGTCAAGTACAGTCTTGTGCCCTTTCTTTCAAAACATACTCTCTTTTCAGCTCCTCTAGTGCACATTTCTACAATGTTTGCCTGCATGTAACATGGGGCCGTTAAATGCTGAAGCTCTAGCTGGGAAAAAGACAGTGTTTAGCATTCCACCTGGTCATTAGGCAGCTGTGCAACTGATATATTCTGAGCCCCAATGTAAAATTAATGCCACCCTCGTATCAGCCTCAGACAGACAGGCTAATGAGGGCATTGGAACAAACATGGCATCAATTATTCCATATGCGACACTATATTTTTAGCTCCATCTTCTTTTCACACTTCAGTGGCCTCAATCTTTAAACCCCACAATAAATAATACGTTTCTCTCACGATAGACTGGTCATTAAGCCTAACTCTGTCTAACCCAGAAAGGTTTACAAAGCCCCAAACAAAGCTAAACAAACAAAGACCTAACTGCCAGTCATTAAACGGTCAGGGTTAGTTGCTAATAGTGGATAGTGTGAGGCAATTAGCACATGGTCCAGGAAAGCCCTCAGCAGTCCTAATTAAGTCATCTCCAAGTTCACTGCAGAGGCACTGGGCTCGATTATCACACCCAAGAGGATGGCAGAAACCAACACAAGAGAGAGATCCAGGCATAAACAATGGTCATTCCTAAATGATGTACTCGCTATGCTCTCTACCTGAACTTCTGCTTCTTAGATGGCAAAATTGCATGGTTTGAACAAAGAAAACGTCTTCTTATAACCCTGTTTTCTTTCCATAAGAGACCTTTTCCCTAGCCCACAGACAGGCTAAGCCTGTTGGGTGAAATGTTTTATAATGAGGGTCAGCTGATGGTCAGTTTGAATGTTTTGAACCAAATAAAGGTAGACCTCAGTCATCTACATTCACTCTCTTTTCACTGGCATCTGCTCTTGGATTCTCCTCTTGCCTTATGCTCTTCCTTTCTACCTGAGCTCTGACTTCTTGGAAAATGGTGTTAAAGGCCATCAGGTCTTCACTGGCATCTCTCTTTCTCTCTTCAGAGCTTCAGGAGCTGTTCACACAGAGCATGTTTTTCCATTCCATTGCGCTAGTTTTCCATTGCTTTTCTATGTAAGCACACACTAGATGGACATGCTTGGAAGTTGCATTCGCCTCTTTTGCAGTGTCTCATGCATGCCGCAGCATTCTCAACACAACGCTCAAGTTAAATTAAGTTCAACTTTTGAAAAAACGTGTCTCCAGACGTTGAGTTTTTTCCCCATTCTACTGCCTGCATCTCGAGTTTTTCAAAGCAAAAATGCATTCTATGTGAATGTCCCCTTATGCTGCACTCTATCTTTTCCTATTTATTTCTCTCTCACTCACTTAATTCAATATGCATCTCGTTTCAATTGAATTATCCATTCTATATTTCAATATCTATAACTATTTAATCCAATATGTAATCATTTAAAACAGTAACATCTGATTAAAGCAGTCATGTTAATAAACAATTTGCTCTTTCAAAACAGGAGTAATGTACTAGCATTATCTAGCTTACTGCTTATTTTCAATGTTTGTACAATGTTTGTAATTGGATATGTTTGAAGACATAATGACAGGGGCATAGAGAGATTAAGGGTTAAAAAAATAAAGCAAACTGTAAATATTGTTACGTATATGTCCAGCCATTTGCTGTCTGTACTGTGCATAATGTGGTTTTGTCATGTTGAATACAATTGTTCAATTGTTTTGCATTTAGCAGCACAACCTGTAAGAGGAGCAACATTTTGTTCCCCCGCAAAATTCACACACATGGATAAGCTTGACTTGATCTGACTGAAGGTATAGCATTTAATATTTTCCATGAGAAATCTAAAATTGGCATAAAATAAATCAATAGAAAAGCTTGAAAAAATTCTCAAGGGGAATCTCAAGGGAAAGTCATTTGAATTGCAAATTGACAGTTGTCATCTGAAAAAGCGCCACAATTTTTTCCCCAACCCACCATTAAAAAAATTGTCCTTATTGCGCCTGAAGTCACTTTTGTCTCTAAATCTGCAGGTTTTAAGTGTTTAAACCTAACTTTGACCTGAAAGGAAAAAAATCTTCTGTCACTTACCTCCAAAGGGAACTCTCAAGAACTTTGTTGGAGTCTGCATGGTAATATTTAGTGAGAATGAGGATGACCTATGAAGAGAAAAAAAGTGTCATTAAACATTATATATACACATACATAATACACAATTTTTCTTTACAATTCTATTAAAAAAATACAGTGGTGTCCAAAAATCACATTGAAAATGTGTGTGAGATGGAGCAAATTAAACACATTAAGAACACTCAATCCACCTTTCTCTTGTAGGATCTCATATCCGTAGCGAACATTGCATTTGCAAAAACGTTTCAGTCTGGAAGAGACTGAATTTGCTGAGAAAATGAGACATCACTACAAGTGTCGAGTTCTTCAGACTTACACAAAAGCATGATGTTTTTGGTGTTAGAAACAGCGTATGCTAACCTCATTTGACAGATCTACCAAACTGTAAACACTTGATGGCCAACATCTTCCTAGCTTCTGCTAATAACTACTCCATTTCTCTCTTTTTTTTGGATCTTTAGGACTGACTGCACTGCAAGCAGTTGCTATAGTATTGATGAACATGCAGTACATTTATTTTGTTAATTTTTCTTTATGAGTTTTTTTTCTCATGAAACAATAAAAATCACACACGCAATAAGAAAGCGGGGTGAGTATCAACAAGCAACACATAGCTTTCTTCAGTAGCTTTCTTCAACATTCATCAGTTGCATTATAGTGTATTTTCATCCAAACAGGTACAATACACAGCTGCAATAGGTCTGAAAATGCACATAGTAACATCTTGATCATTACATTTTATGTTGTAGGGTCTCTGTATGTATTTCTCTGTGTTGTGGCATTTTAGCAAGAGCAAAGCTTAAAAAAAACAGCTACCTTGCTGATTAGGCTGCCAGTAATAGCTTCAATCAACACAATACATATGATGAAATCTACTGCAGCTCCACCACAAGATTCTTTCTGCCATGTCATTCTACTTGCCTTGAAGTATTTTTACAATGAAACCCACTTTATCTCTATAAAACTGGTTTCAATCCCAGGACTTACTGCGTTTGTGTAATGGACGGTAAATGCTTTTTTTGTGCATTAAGGTATAAAACACATGTCGAATAGAGAGCACACACACACACACACACACACACAAAATGATGCCTTCCTCTGGTCTATCTGGTTGAGGTATAAAAGCTAGGGTGAGGTGTATCCTTAAAGTCTCTCTTATCTTTTATTCATGTTAGTAGGACGCCTGAGTTTGAAGTAACAAATCAGTAGAGTGTGAGTGAAGGGGGATGACTTCTGTCTGTGTGTCTCCTTTATCTTTCTCTACTGCCTCACACACTGGGTCTCTGACAGCAAAGCCCAGTGGAAAAGCAGTGCCACGAAAAATTGTCAGAGAGATTCAGGGCCTTGGCAGGGTGATTGACAGGTCAGTATTGGAATGTGGCAGGAAGCGTGTGGACCGGGCCAGCCTTGGGCTTTGCTTGGGGAATCGACTGAGAGGGTTATTGCCCTGAGCTTGTCCCTCCCTCTGTAGACGACAGAAGTGCTAAAGGTCAGAAAGGTGTGAGCAAGAAAATCAAAGGTTTTTTTAACAGTATGGAGGTTGTGTATGGCCGAAAAGCTATTTTAACCTTTAACAGTGATTCATGGCAGGTCTCAAACCGAACTGAACAAAACCCAGTTCAGTCAAAATTAAGTTATTCCTGCAGTCACGTCGATATATTGTAAAAAGTGCATTGCATTCAAGCCAGAATATTTGTATTTTTTTATATATATTTTTTTGATCCCTGATCTCAAGGATTCAGTATATAATGTGCTTTATTTCTTACAATTATAAAAGTAATTTGAAAGGGCCAAATATGTTTCGTTCTAATAAATTATTTATTTAAATGTTTTTTTAATACAGTTCAGCTGCTCTGAACATTGAGTGATATAAGTTTAAGATTCAGTGTAATCATGCCTGCAATTTCCACATTCATAATTATTCATAAAATAAAAATAAATTCCCACATACTGTTATTCACTGTAACATTCTACCAGTTGGTAAGATTTTTTAAATCTTTCTGAAAGAAGACACAAAGGCTGCATTTATTTGATCAAAAATACAGTAAAAACAGTGATATTGTGAAATAGGCTATTATTACAATTTAAATAACTGCTTTGTATTTCACTATATTTTAAAATGGCATTTATTCCTGTGATGACAAAGCTGAATATTCAGCAGCCATTACTCCAATCTTCAGTGTCACATGATCCTTCAGAAATTATTTTAATATGCTGATTTGGTGCTCAAGAAACATTTTTTTATTATCAATGTTGAAAACTTAATACTGTGTTGCTTAATATTTTTGTGGAAACTGTGATTACACGCACAGACATTTAAGTTAAAAAGGTTAAAGAACAGCATTTATTTGAAATAGAAACCTATTGTAACATTCTACATGACTATACTGTCACTTTCAAACAATTTAATATATCCTTGCTAAAAAAAAGAATATTTTTTTCCTTTAAAAATATCTTACTGAGCCCAAACTTTTAAACATTAGTGTATAAGAGAAAATTAGATAAACAAATCAAATCAAAAGTTTTGTCTTTCTATTTGACTGTAATTCTACAAATAGTGCATATGAATCAGCACTGTCTTGTTTGTTTTGTTTTTGTTTCTGTTCTGAGCAAAAGCAAGCCATCTGATCATTATCAAAATTGTTCAAAACAAGTCTGCTTTTTGTGTTTTATTACTCCACATATTATGTTCCTTTCCTTTCTCTCTCTTTGTCTATCATCAACTTCCATCAAAACAAATCTGAAACGCATCTCAAGCATCAGGCCCCCAAACATCCTCTTCACTATTCATGCCATAATTTGTCAAGAACATAACTATTTACCAGATGCAATCTGTATCTAATTTAAAGAACCTTTCTCTCTGGGAATACTGAAGAAAATGAGGCTTACTGTTACTGCAAACACAGCTGTATCTGGAAGAATAACCAAGTATCTTTTTCCACTTATGATTTTTAAAGGCCTTACATACTTGGGGATGAATAAAACATTTATCAAACAGTGGATGAGTGTTCTACAATCATTCAACAAGAAGCATTTGTGCTTTCCCAAATAAATACCAGTGTGATCGCCAACAACTGCAAATCTTCCCTATTCATCAGTACAGACACAATTTTGATGATTCCTTTTGAACTAATTATGCTGAACCTAATCAAACATATTAGCTGTCCACAGCGCATTTTAGCATCAGGCTACACAGCAAAGAGTTTTCTCAGTCTACCCAGGGGGCCGAGTGCCCCCGCACAGGCGTCAGATGGTGGCCTTTGGAAAGAGTCTGTCTGCACCCAGCTGTCTGCAGTACAAGGCTAATGAACCACTGGGAGCAAAGCCTTTCACTCACTGACATCATGCAAATACAGTCTGAGGAAAAGAACAACTGATGATCAGCAGCTTAGAGCAAAGCCCACTGAACTCATTACTGACATCAGCATGCAGAGAATAATCTTCACATCATTTACTTTGAGCAATAACAAAGCTGACATCAGCTGAGAGTGAAGAGAAGCGAAGACTTCCTTAATACACAGGCACTCTGGTGGCAGCCCCTCAGTTTATCTGTTTATCAAGAGGAAGTGAGAGCAGACCAAAAAAAAATACAACAGTAAAATCAGCACTGAGCACAAGAATGTGTTATTGAGAGTAAATCTTGTCATCATAAGTGTCTAGAACAAAATAATATCAATTCAATTAGAAATGCATTACGATTAAATTTCTGGCTGATATTCAAATTCTATTGTATTTTGAGACAAAAAAAAATCAATCAAGCGTAGCGTTAGTTCTGGCAGGTCACGCTAGTCAAGCTCGCATCAGCTGACCTTCAGCTGATCCCGATCTACCTATGGGAATACGACACTTATCTAAGCATTCATATATAAGGTCCCTCAGTATTATCAGCAGTTTTCGCATTGCTCAATAGCTAATTACCCTCCTCCATCCCCAACTCCTCCTCTGTCAGTCG